GTAGTAGCAGCAGCAGCAGTAGTAGCAGTAGTAGTAGTTGTTATGGTATATGACCGCCAGACGTCGCGTCGAGAAGAGAGGCATGTGTCGCGTGGTATGCACGCATGGTGTAGAATCAAATAAAACGAGTTATTCTAAAAAGATATCTGCGTTGACTTTGCACATGTGTGAGCATCAAACATAACACAGAGTAACATTTATAATAGGAGATGATAAATAAATATTTAATTAATTAAAATAACACGAAATTTGTTATTCGCATATTTTTCGACGTGCTACAAGCAATGGTCGTTACCCTCGGCCGTTTTCGCTTGCTCGTTCGTCTGCCATCGTCGGCTAATCCGCTCTGGTCGTCTCCGTTACCGCTTCCACTCTGACTGCTACCAGAACTTTCCGGACGGTGTAACTTGTCGTCATCGCCACCGGCTGTCACCGCTAGACGCAGCAAGGTGCCACTGCCAGATCCATTTGACATTGTCAGAGGAACGTTTGAGAACTGTGCCTGCAGTAGGGCAGGCTATACCGCGTTTTCGCACTTCGCCCGTGCTGCAGATACGATAGTGTGGACCTTAGTACAAAATTTTTGGCGTGTGTGAAACCTGCAATTAATCCAAGTATATACAGTTCTAGTATATAGTTAATTTTACTTAAAGTAAATCCAAGATCGCCCAACGACAACGATCGATCAGCAGTCTACCTGCTACGAATGCAACGCGGTGCGGGTGTAAATATAACGAAACGTTCGGGGAACGTCACGGGTCACGCTGGACTGTACCTGGCAGTGGAGTGAGACGCTGGTAGAGCCCAAAGTTGACGTAGCCTTGCCGTTCAAGGAATGCGTGCACTCTCAGCACCAACGGCCCGTCACTGTTGTATGGTGGCTCCACCTGCGATACTGCGTGTTCGATCGTCAGCTGCTGTTTTGGATTCTCGATCCATAACTGCAACTAAACATGCAAGGAACATTTTTCTTTAGATCGCGCGTAAATCCGTACACACCCTCAGAAATTCTCCGCAGGTGTAAGTCATACCTGAACAGTTCGAACTTTTCGTCTCAAATGAACACGTGCAAATCGCTTGATACGAATTTGCGCAAATCGTTTACGATCTAGGAAATCTTGCGTGAATATTAGCCCCACTTACGATCCTGTTTCGTATTTGCAGAAAGAGTTTCTGCGACTGCGGGCCACTCTGGACGATATCAGGAAAGCAAGCAGCCTCCTGTGATGTCATCTTGTCAAATGGCAGTCTGCTCTGGAAAGCTGCGCCTTCAAGACCTAAATTGGGAAAACAATTGTTGGGTCAGAAATTTATGCAAGAATAATTGCACATTGCTAGAATGAGGATATAGTGCTAATTGTAGTAAGTTGACATCTAGTATGAACTCTAAACCCATCATATATAGTTTAATTGGTGCATATGACATGAGGAAACATCCCAGCAGTCAGGGAAAAGCTCACTAGATTTGACATACTAACACACTTCACTATTTGTAATTTTCCTATTTACAATAATCAACATGACTGTACATTCGTCATTAATCCGACACAGGTCTAGGAACAGCGGTTACATATTATCAGATTACTGATAAATTAAAACACGATGCCGTATTGCTCCACGGCCCCTAATAAATGTTCTCCACCTGTAGGGTCCTCATTCTCACTCTCTTCCTCTGGCTCAGGCTCTGGCGGAGGGGGAGGGGGTGGTGGCAGCACTTGCTTCTTCTCCTTCACAGGTTTATCTTCGTCCGAATCATTGTTATCCTCGGAGAGATTTGCTAATTTATCGTCCATCTCCTTATACTCTACCTGAGAAGGTAAGCCATTGCATTTCACCGGAGACCAATACACACACAGCACTGAGAATTTCAGTAATTATGAATACCCCGTACAGACTACAAATTTGACATGGTACTAAACTGGTGCGCGCCAAATTTGTGCAGTATGCACACGCTATCCTGCTCCAAATACGCGTTGGCCCGCACCAATTTGGCCCTGCAAATAAAGGAGGGCCAGGGCCGGGATAAGTTATCCTGCACCAAGCTGTGCTTGTACGCAACACGCAGGACAGACCCGGTGCTAAATCGCAATGCGCATGCGCATAGCCTTATTTAGGTTACGTAATTGTATGCTCGCTGTACCTCGCTGTCTGCGGGGTGACGTGGCGAGCAGAACGGAGAACTGATGCCTCATTTAATGTAGGATCAAATACGCAGTCTATACGCTACAATCTGGCGCGTGTTAGGCGTGCGCCAGTTTAATACCATATCGAATTTTGTGGTCTGTACGGGGTATAAGAGTTGCCGATACAAGCATCCAAAAGGTGATGGATTCTACGTGAGCTGACAAAATTTGGAAATAATCGTTTATGGTACAACATCCATTATACCTTTTATGGATTATGATACATAATATATAATTATAAACATCTATGCAGGCTTTCATTTTTAAGGGGCGCGATCGCGCTCGCGCTCCACCGCGCACCCGAAATTGTGCCATGGTGCGCG